AGAAAAATCTAAAGGGAAATACTGTATGTCAACGCAAAGAAATGGGTACGATATATATACACCTGGAACTTAACATCATCAGTGAGAAAATCTTTTCATTCACTTCTTTACCCCACCACCTTCGTATTCAACAATATTATACATCGGAGCAACATTTTAAATCCCTGTAAATCTTGATCCTTAGATATAAAGACAAAAAAGCGTCGAAGAGAAAGACGCATTGAAATTATTTATTAAGTATTTGCAGTTGTTGCTACCGATGTTCTGGTCACCGTAAGCTAGATTGTGTAAGAAAAGGAATTATCTTCATCAATTAGTTCATTACTTTTTTAAACATTTTGATTTTCAAACTTCTGTGCCATCCAAAATTTAATTACAGTATATATACGGTACGTAATTATTACAGCATGGTATGGAAATCTCACTTGGAACAATGCAAAATACTGTAGTTTTATGCACTGCACGGAAACATCTCCAATGTCGTTTAAAATTGGTAATAAATCTCTGCATTGCGTGATACTATCACCGAGCTGAATTTTGTAAAAATCTCAATTCTTAGATATTATTTTACTTTATTTCGCATGACGATAACTCCCAACAACCAAACACATGTATTTGCTTATGCTGTAATTAAAATGTTATGCCAATTACTCACTTAGTAATTAATGCAAATACGTATAAATAATAATACCGTTACTTTAAATTTAATAATCTAAGGTGTTATCGATAACTTATAATAATAAAAGCTAAGTCTAACTTTGATATTGATGGTTATAAATTTGCTGAGGATGCTGTGGATATGGTGATAAATTTGGAGGTGCAGTGGGAACTACCTCAGGATTAGAATTTTTCTTATTTCTTTTCCAACATAACAACATAATTAAAATGATAATGGCAATTAAAAGGGAAACCAGGAGAGCAATTACGGCAATCAATAGAGGTTCTGATAATACCGAGCTTGAGGATGCTATTGAAGTAGCTATGAACAAGCAAACAGATAAATAAGAGATCATCGATAATGGTTGAATACAACAGATAAGATATAGATGATCAATATACCCGTTGCTGTGCCTGTTGCTCCTGGAATGGTTAATTGAATATAACAATTAAATCGTGTAGATTTCAAATTTCAAGGGTTTATAAATTTATCTATATTATTATTACCTGGTGTATTCTTGTTGCCGGTAGCACTTGGAATATTGGGAGCTATTTCGATGAAATTAAAGATTTGTCAAGTGACATTGAACCGTAATTATAGAGATAAAAAAATTACTTACCGCCTAGAACGAGAATAATAGAATTAACGATTTTAAACAGAAACAATCTCTTAGACGTATTCATCATCAGTTATCAACCAAAGACTTATACTCACCGACTAATAATTTTATTTTTGATGAAACAAATTAAATAGTCATGATGATCATCAGAGAAGATTTGTGTTTAAAGTGCATATACTTACCAACTAAAATTTTTTAGTGAATACGCATTAATTAGCATGAATTAGTGAAAATATATATTTAATTAAAGAAAGACCGGGCGTAATAAAAAATAATACTTACCGGCTAAAGTATAAAACGAGTCGTTAAGTTTAAATGCTGGGTGAATTATAACTTTTGAACGTAAAATATACTTACAACCTAATTATTTGAAGGAAGCTGAGTACCATAAACAACCAATTATTGAAACATATAGTTGTACAATAAAAACATATACTCACCTAATAATAAAGAGTGACAAATGCTATTAATAAATCACAAAGGTACATTGAAATTATATTTTTAATAGAAACTTTATACATACAAGCTGATCGAAATGAAAGAATATCAAAATGAGTATTATCTAAATGTAAATAATAATTGAACTTATAGCAAAACTTTATACTCACAAACTAATCATTTAAATAGAATGCACAAAATAAAAAATGTAAGTTAACAATCACGAGAATCAAAGATTCGGCAAGTGGTTTTGATTTAAGGAATTAACAGGGTCATTATACTCACGGCCTAAGATTTTAAAAGGTAAGAGTTGCAATGCGTTAATTGAAGATTATCATTTATCTCAAGCTTCCAACGATAAAAAAAAGCTCTATCTCACCAGCTATGAATTTTGTAGAATAACAAGTAATGGTGTAAGTTGGAGACGATGATTAATGTACCGCAATTTGGAGACGCTAACTTGTCAACGTATTTTAACTTTATACTTACGGACTAATATTAAAGATCGGCTGGTCAGTGAAAGGGAATACCATGTATTGCTAATTACAAAGCGAATATTTTATACTTGCCGGCTAATAATAAAGTTGATTTTTAAAAATTCAATCACTTTATAATGAATTTATGTAACTTAATCGACCATAAAAAAAAAAAATCGCTTACTGTCTAATAATCAGAAGAATTAAAAAAGGGTGAATTGTTGTTTGGGCAAGTTATTGAAATTTCGATTCATAATAGAGCCTCATACTCACATGCTAAATAATGTTGATTTACAAAGTATATTACTTAATAACTGATTACAACAATGAATGAGTCATCATTATATAA